GTTGTGCCTGTGGTCTGCGTGTAGCTGGAGTGACTGGATGCCTACGTGCGGTGCAGGTTCGGTCGGGGCCTCCGAAATGACCGAGTGCAGCATCACCGGACCAGGTGGGTTGACCTCATCGACTCCAGCACGATCAAGTGTTCGTCGTTGCGATGACTCTGCTAGTGACCGGCCTCGGACATATCGTTGCCGCAAGCTTCCTTGCCCGTCATGGTGTCGGCGGTTGTGTGCCTCGTCAGCTTGATTCAAGGTCTCCTGGATGAGCTGCATCATTTCCGCAGCGTTCTGGGTCATGCGATGATGAAGTGCTATCATGCGGCCGAGCATGGCGACCACTCTCCGATGTCGGCGAGAAGGCCAACACTTTTTGAACCAGTGAATGAGCTCCGTGATCGACACAAAAATCAGGGACCAAAGAAAACAAAAAGAACCACACCCGAACGCAAAAGCCAAGACTAGCCAGAACAGGTCCGGAGAAAAAGCGAAAAGACAGAGGTGAGCCGCAATGCCAAACATCAAGAAACCGCGACGAACTGGCACTTAAAGGTTCTTTCTGGTTGGGATCGCCGGAAGATGAAACGGGTGCTGCAGGTCAGCTAGCTTGTAGCCGGCGGACAAGTAAATACTGCGGAGTTGATCCAGTGCCATCTGTACTGCTCTAGCTGGGTGCGCATACTTGGTAGCGAGGGCTGACCGTGATCTGGCTCCGGAGAGAAGGGTGGAGAGGCTTCCTGCAGTGTGGGGTCCTCTTATCTGCCAGATTTTGCTTGGGGTTTTGTAGTAAATCGCCCGGTCGCCCACGTCGATGACGAAGCCGAGGAACTCCGAAGACCCCACCTGTTCCAACACGATGGGAGCGCCGTAAAAGTCAGCTTCCACATTGCCAGACAGCCTGTATATAGCATAGATGTCCAAGTCCGAATGCCGTCCGCTACGAAGTCGCTTTTCCTCCTCCCAGGATTCAATGTGCTCCGAGGTGAGACGAGCAATGATGGACCAGGCTTGGGTGTGTTTGAGCGCCACTCGATGAAAGTTCCTGCCGTAGACTGTGCAGCTCCTTCTGCGCAAACGGAGGAAAAGGCGTTTGCCGAACCTGGACCAGGGTTGTTCTGCAAGGAACCTGGTGGCCGTGTGGCCAGTGGAGATGCGCTTATATCGCCGATGAATATAAGGCCAATTGAGCGACGGCTGATAAATACTGATCAAGGCATGTTCCTGGGTCCAAGTGACCCTGTGGTCGGGGTCTGTCAGGATGACCCATGTAGCAAACTCGTCATAGTTGTGGAAGTGGTGCCACCATCTGAGGGCTGGTTCCGCATTGATGAATTGGCCGTGTTGAATACCCAGTAACTTGGCTCTACGATTGTGTTCTCGACAGGGGTAAGTGATGCTCGTGCTCCCAATGTATACGTCAGACTGCGGGTTGACTGAGCGTGGAAGGTCCGGGCGGAGTTCGACTCGCTGCTTCCAGTACACCGCATTGGGCTGCGAGAAGTGGGTGAAGGTGTACTGGATCCAATGTGATGTCCGGGGCAACCTCCGCAGTCTTGCGCTTTGCCGGCCGTGTTTTGGGAGCTGGATCAGCCTCCGGGGATGGAACTGGTAGGGGAGGTCCCTGAGCATCCGACCTCGCCGCGTTGATGTAGAGGGACTGGTCAGAGCGGCCGGGTGTAGGTGTCCAGGATGCGGTATTGGAAGGAGACGAGGATGGCTGCTTCTTGTCCGGTGTGAGAGTGATCCCTTTGTTCTTGTAGCGTTCAAGCTGTTGTTCCAATTCGGCAATTTTGTGGCGAGTGAGGTTCTCCTGCTTGGCGGGCTGCAGCGACTCGATGAGATCCACGATTTTGAGCGCAAGTGGCTCCATAAACTGCATAGCCTCGTTGCGCTTGTCCGGCGCATTGTCCGCATGGAGAGAGCGGGCCGTCCTGTCGATGTCGGCCTCCCTGCTTCTCAAGGCTTTGAGAATAGATGTCAATAACACCGCCTCGGCTATTGTCTGAGCCATTACCGGTGTACTGTATCGCCCGTTCGACAGCGATCGTAGTGCGTGATCTTCTGCTCCTCCTCGAAGAAGTCGTGTCAATGGGAGATCTAAGATTGCTGTTCCTGCGAGCCCGACCCTTCTGGACCATTGAGTGGGTTGAATGTGACGGTACAGTTGCAGGCCGCGGACCTCCGTCTTGTCGAGGAAGATGTCGTCAGATTGAAAGGTGCTGGGAAGCAACTGCGAATATCGAGGCTGAGTGTACTGCGTTGCATCGCCTTGACCTAGAGGTGCACGGGCCTGAAGTTGAGCTGGTGGTGCTGGTGGTGGGGGTCGAGGACCCGTCTGCATGTAGGTTGTGCCACCACCATGATAGTTGTAGAACTGACCAGGAGGCTGAGGAGGGAACTGGTAAGCCATATGTGGAGGCCGAGGAGGATGAACCCTAGATGCTGCTTCCTCTCGAGGTTGGTGCTGCGAAGATTCCGTCCGATTGGAGCTCAAATAGGCTTCCTGCTGGGACTGCTGTACTGACCATGATGGAAGGTGCGAAGATCCCGGAGGCGAGGAGGAAGATGGTGCCGACGTCGCCGGCCATGAGTGGGTCCACTGGGAAGCCAGGATCATCTGCGACACTTGCTGATTGATTAAACGCTAGGCATACGGCACGAATTGTCGAAACGGTCACCGATTTGCAATCAAGCCCAGGGCATTAAAACCTAGAAACAGCGAGTCAGCACATTGCAAAGGAAACCGCAAGAAGACAAACAAAATAAAAAGTCATGCTTGAGTAAGGCTCTAGCATGCACTTTTTGTCGCAAAATATCGTCGGCGGTCGAAGACGGCAGTGTGGTGAAGAATGCTCTTATTTGCAATGAAACATCATTAATTGTCATCGGTGCAGCAGCTCTTGATGCAGGTTCACGAACGGA